AATGGTGATGCTATTGTGTTGAGGCATTTATTGGGTCAAGGTTTTTGTGGGATGCTCTTAAGAACTTTAATAAATCCAACATGGGAGAAAATGGTGTCAAGAAAGTCTCATGGAGGTGGTACAGCATGACTGGAAGCTCTGGTTGAGGAAAGCAGGAGAAACTAGAGCCACACTGCCTGGGTTCAAATCCCAGCTCCTTAACTTAAAAGGTGGTGACTTCAGGCAAATCACTTCATCTCCTGGGCCTCGGTGTTCTCATTTATAAAATGGAGAAAATAGTGCCTACCTCATGACGAATAAAGCCATGACATAATGAGATAATGATTCAAAACACCCAGAACAGTACCTGGCACGTGTGTCAAGTGCCAACCCCCGGAATGATGACAGCAGAGACAGACCATCTGGAAGGTGTGTGGAGGTGGCCTTCTGGAAGTTCAGGAAAAGGGATTTATATGATACAGAAGCAAAAGAGGTGGCAGTGACTTGTGCTCACAGTGGAAAGGAAAGGGTGGCTGAAGTGCTAGGGCACGTGGGGCACGCTGAAGAGACAGATGGGGGCCACTGAAGGAAGAAGGGCCAGTGGTGGCAGCAAGAATCAGCAGCTGTCATTTTATAAGCCCTTAAGTGTCCCAGACACCTCAGGTCCTCGTTTTACCCTCCCAACCAACCTATGAAGTATTATTGTTTTATACATGAGAGGAGGAAAACGCACAGAGCTGTGACTTGCCTACTATGACACAGCTGCTGAGCAGCGGGGCTGAGTCAAACTGAGTCACTGAGCAGCCTTCCGCTGCAGCCCGTGTGAGAAGGTGCTGGGCAGGACAGGTGCCCCTGGGGCTGGTTAGCAGAGCTGGGCTGTACCAAGAAAGGCTTCCTTGTGGGAAAGGGCCCCAAGCCTGGGGAAGATAAGACTGAGGGCAGAACCAGGAGGGCCACTTAATTAACTGAACCCCCATCTGCTCAAAACACCCCATTTTACAACTACCAAATACACTGCTGTAAAACCCTATTGTCTTTCCCTAGGCCACAGCTCAAGACTGGGTCAGTCTCAAAGGAGAAAATAGGCAGGCTCTGTCTAAACCCTCACCATTCTTCAAACACAAATAAATCAGAAAATTCACCTCCCTCCACCCTCCTCCAGATACAGCAAATCGCTTGGCCTCTGCCCTCCAGCCTAGAAAGTTTCTGGACTATGTTCTTATTCCAAAAAGGGCGTTAAAGCCCACCTAGCATGTTTTTAAAAACCTGGACTGAATTTTCTGATCTTGTGGAACATCGACCCAGAAGCACTCATCGACTGCAGCTCCACTGGTCTCCATCTCACACCTCGACCCCAAAGTCCCCTCTCCATCACGACTTCATTATGAAAGGTGTCCCCTCTGTGCTTTTTCCCCCACCTTCCACCAAAAAGCCAAAGCATGCTCCAAAACAAAAACCAAATTTATTCAGCAGACACTTTAATTAAGAAATCCTATAAATCAGGACCACCACAATTTCAGACACTCCGGTGCGAAGTGTACGTCAATAGCTACATCTGGAGGATGAACAAGCCATTGAATCTTTTAAAAAAATTAGTTTAGCTCCTTTTGCAGTTTGGGGGTGGCACCTTACTTAAAGCACCGTCAAGTTTCATACGGGTAAAGCCTGCGGTTTCTCCTCTTGGAGAGTCCCATTTAAAAAACGGTTTCGGTCACTCACAAAGAGCTGGTGGCAGAAGGAAACTGAGGGGTGAAGACCCACGAAAGCTCAGACCTATGGCTCCACAGAGGACCAGAACAGAGCAGAAAAACAGCCGGGGTCTCATCCATGCAGTGAAGACATCAGAAAGGGTGGAATAAGAAAGGCCAGCCGGGAGGGCAGGAAAGAGACATAAGACATTGTTTATGCCTGTTTCTGAGAAATCTCATGGCACGGCCAGGAGTGGCCTCACGGGAGGAGGAGGAGCTCTGGACAGAAGGAGAGAACAGAGAAAAAAAAATCTCTCTCCTCGCACAGCCCTCTCCACCTGTGTGTCCTCTGGAGACGCTAGGAGGTGGCGAAGCACAGACAGGGCTCTTCTCGGAGCAAGAGAAAAAAGACACAGCGGTCAGTTAGCTCTCCCAGGAAGCCCACAACCTTCCGTCCAAGCACACCGTGACCTTGAAACACAGGTGGCAAGGTCAAGTCATTTAAAAGTCCACATCCACCTCGACCCACCTTCAAAATTCTCCACCTCCCTACCCGCGACAACTGGAGCTCACATCTCCCACCTCGACCAGTCACCGATGTGATGGGAGAAAGGGGGAGGGCGATGCCAACCCACCCACCACCAAGCTTTTACATTCTTCTTCCCTCCGGAATTTCTTTGCACAGCAATTGTAGCACCATTTTCACTAAGTTCCTCCACCGGAAAATAAAATGTATTCGTGTCATCAGTTTTCAAGTATTCTTACAAAGCCCTCGCGATTCTCGCCCCTTGGAGCCGTATCTTTAAACAATCCAAGCACACGACACCCCCAAGAGTTAAGTCAGGTACAAGTAGTCAGGTACAAGTTGATGCAAATAGCTGCCATAGTTCTCCCAGTTTTATCCCAGGTTCCTGTCCCCGAGGTGGCCGGGGAAATTCTCACGCGACACGTACGCGCCCTGGCCCGTGCATTTCTCCACGCTCAAGTTTTCGCCGACAGCCTCGCCGGGGCGGGTAACTTCTCGGCTTGAGGTCTCTCCCCACTAGCCTCCTTGCAGCCTAGGCGGTCGCTCCCAGGACGGCAACGGCGGCTTCAGCTCAAGGTTGGGGAAGGCACAGGACGCCGTTGGGTCCCCGCAGCGGCTTCTTCCTCCTCCAGGGGCCCAGGGTCAGTGCAAGGCGCCGGAGGGCTGAAGGGCGACAGGGTCCGGTCGGCTGCGGCTGCCCCCGGGTCCGGGGGGTACCGCGGGGCCCGTGGCTGCCACCGCGGCGACGGCTCGCTGGAGCCTCCGCACGGCCTCCTTGATGAGGTTCCCCGAGAGCACCAGCTGCTGCAGGAGCCTGTGCGGGTCGTCGTCGTTGGCGCGCGCCCCGGCTGGGGGCCATCGTCGCTGTTGCAGGCGGCGGGAGGCGACAGCGCCCCGCAGCCATCCTCGCCGGCACGGCCCGGGCAGCGCGCTGGGGCTTGCGGCGAGCTCGGCCACAAAGTAGGGCGCAGCCCGGCCCCGCACCCGGCCACGGTCCCCGAGGGCGCAGCGCAGGGCCCCCGAGGGCGCCGGACCCCCAGTCTCGGCCGAGGCGGGCGGCAGAAGCAACGGCAGAGCCGGGGCTCGGGCCTTGTCCGCCCGCACCACCGCCGGGGGTCGCGGGGGCTGCAGTGGCGGCCCCGGGGGCGCGCACGGGGAGGCAGGGCGGTCCTGCGCCGCGTCCAGCTGCAGCGTCTCGCCGATCTGGGCCACCAGCCGGTCCACCTCGCCCGAGCCGCCCAGAGTCACCGACTGTTCCAGTAGGAGGAAGCTGTCCTCCTCCTCCTCCTCCTCCTCTTCCTCGCCGGCTTCCTCTTCCTCCTCCCTCCGGCACGGCATGGCCCCCCGCGCGGGCACCCGGAGCTCTGCGGGAGTCGCCGGCGGCTCAGCTGCCCCCGGGGCTCGGTGGGCCGCGGCGGAGCCGGGCGCGGTGCTGAGGCCGAAGCCGGAGCCGGGGCGGACGCGGAAGCCGGAGCCCGCCAGGCACTCTCGCCGCGCGCCAGCAGCCGCGGGAGCCGGAATCCTACCGGCTCTGGTTGATTTGTAAACAATGGGTGACGTTGCCTCCGGGCCCTACCACCGCGCCGGGGCAGGGGGGACAAACGAGGAAGTGGCGCAGCGCGGGCCGTCACGGGCAGCGCAGGGCCGCGGCCGGAGCCTTCTTGTGTCTGCGCTGGGTGTTTGCTTAGGAGGGGATCTGGGGCATGGGGAGAGCTTCGTACTTCCCCGACCGGATTAGCAGCACAGGACTATGGAGACTCTGAGGTGGCCACGATTGGATTCTCCCACTAACGGACACACCCACCCACACACCCAACCACTCATCCTCCGACGCTTCCTCCCTCCCCACGTGTCAGCAAGACTTGGGCGGCCCCGCTCCCCCTCCCGCGCACCCGCAGTCAGCGGGGCCCGGGACTGGTGGGGGAGGGGCGGGCCCTGCGACCAGCTGGCTTGGGAGGGGTGGGGCTGGGGAAATTGGGGGCGGGGAGGGGACTTCGTAATGGAGGGCGGAATCGCCCTGAGGTGGAGTCTCGGTGCCTGCTCCCTCCGCCTAGCCCTCAAGCGCTACGACCCAGCGCGAGAGAAAGACGCGCCACCGCCTGGCTAAAGACTTTGTTCATTAAAGAAAAAAAAAAAAAAAAAAGCCGCGCGGCCAGTAAAAAAAGATTTAAATAGAAATATAGGGCGATGAAAAAACCCTCTCTAATCATAGGAGTCAAACATGGTTCACATATTAAAAGTTTTTCTTTTCCAGCCTTTTTCTATAAAAGTGTTATACAAACAGCCACTCGTATACAACGTTATACACTTTTCCACTAGCATTATCCCGTAAACGGTGTTCGTGTTATTGCATGCGCCTTGAGAACATGTAATGATTACGCAAGTTTCCATTAAGTGGCTGTACCATAACTTACTAAATAATTCCTTTAACGTTTGCGGTTTACCTCATTTTACCGTTGTAAATAAGTGCGTGACTAACATTTTTGTGTGTAAAACGTTTTCCGTGTTGATTCTTTCCTAAGAACATATTCCCAGGAATGGGAATTCAGGTCAAAGGATATGGATATTTTAAGGTTTCTGATAAATGTACCAAATTGCTTTCCAACAGTTGGGTAAATTTACTCTCTCATCATTCATGTGTAAGCATACATTATTCGTTGCGCCTTCACTGGTATTAATACTTGAGTATTATAGTTATTTTTCTGATTTTGTAGGTGAAATGGATCTCATTTCAGTATTTATTTCTTTGCTTTTAGTTAGGTAGAGTAGTTTTCTAAATGTTTAACCAACTGTACTTCCTTTTTTTGTGAATAGTTCTCTAATAAGTTTTTCCTATTGATTTTTTTCTTTTGTATTTGCATGACTCCTCTACATGCCAGAAGTTCACTCTTTTCTTTCATAGTTTGCTGTGAATATTTCTTCGGTTTTTGTTGGCCCTGTGGAGGTTTTTTTTTCACTAAAACTTAAATATAGTCAAATCTACATAAAGTACCTTCCTTTGAAACTTCTAACACAATGCTAAATTTAGTCTTCTTGCCTCCAGAAAGTTATTAAATATTACGTTCTATTTTCCTGAGATTTTTCTAGTGCCTTGATTTTTTTCAAATCTATCTGGATTCATTTTGGTCACTGGTGCAGGGAGATGATACGATTTTTTTCCCACCACAGAGCTTGTCAGGCAGGGCTGTAGTTCTTCAGGACAGAGGTGTTTGGGCACTGTAAACACAAGCTCTGCCCTGAGCAGCTCCCAGCTGCTGGTTAAGCCAAAGGTTGTAAGGACTGGGTGGGGCTGGGAATATTATGATCAGTCTGTGTGCGAAGTCGAGAAAAACCTTGAACAGGTTGTACCAAGACCTAAAGAGATTCACGTCTCATTCCTGCCGCGTCTGGGTGTGTGGCTCCTGGCAAATCAGTTTACAAGCGAAAACACATGTAAAATGGAAAAAGTAATCCCAGCCCTGCCTCCCTCTGAGGATTGCTTTCAGGATCAAATAAGATAATGGGAGCAGGCTTTGTCAGGCATTACACAAATGTAACGTGGGATTAGGTCCAATGGTTTACTCACAGAGGCCTGGCTTAATTCCAGCGATTCCCTGAGGGAATCAGCTAATATATTCATGATAAAGTTTCCCCCTTACAGCCCACTAAGTAAAACGTACCCCCAAGGCATTACTCCCTTGAAACTGCCTTGTCCCTGAATTCTGCCCCGGGACCACCCTGACCTGGGATTGATTAAGGCCTTCTTGAAGTCAGCCCAAAGGCTCCCAAATCCCAAGGTGTGACCCCCTACAACTAGTTCTGCAGGTTTTGCTGACAGATCCTTTCCCAACAAGCAGCCTTCCTCCTGCATCTCTGTGGAGGGCTCTTCACACGCTTTACTGATGAGGACTGAAAGCCATTTCCCTCAGAGAGAGTGATTTTCATTTTCATTCTGATGGTACTTACTGGAGAATTTCAAGGGGAATGAAAATTAGGGGAGGGCTTATGGATTTCAGCAGAGTTAAATAAATGGGAATTTTTTTTTCTCCTCTCTGTAAGATGATGCCTGCCAGTAAGTAGAGAAAAGCAGTTTTATGCTCCATTGACTTTAAACATTAATGGAGCTGGTGTAGCTATTGTCTCTAACCCAGCATCCCTGGAAGTCGTTTTTCTTTTCTTGTCAGGGTAATTCCCATAGTGTTCTTAGTACTAAGGGAAATGGAGCTGAGATGGCATTCTTTTAAAAATCTTCCCTTTGTAATGTTGCTTTTGTGTGGAGATTGCTATGTAAATATGCCGGGACTTGGATATTATACTATTCATTACAAAGATGAATTCATTACAAAAGACCAGTTCCATTTTCTGGGGGCACTTCTCTGGAGAGCTCCGAGAGAGGAAAGTGCTGTGCTGGACCAGTGGGAGGCAGAGAAATGCCCTGGATTAGGAATCAAAATACAAGATGCTAGAGAGGCTCAGATGCAATTAAAAGTAATGAGAGGGTATCAGAAAGGGAAGCGATGAGAGCTGCGTGCCTGGCACGCTGGGCACCTGCCTGGAAAGAGACATGGAGGGTATTCAGCATCACCCGTGGAAGGACACAGAATTCAAGGATTTTCTGAATTTGTTTGGACTGCATTGAAATTCTTCGCAAGGAGTTTGCTTTCCACCTGGACTTTGTTTTCAGTAACCTGTACTCAGACACACCAGCAGGGATGAAGAGATAGACTCTAGGCTTGGAACTCCACCTGCATCCAGCCATGTCATCCTTCTGTGCCTCAGATCCTGAATCTGTAAAATGGAGGGTGATCCTTTCTTTACAAAATTGTTATATTACATAAGAATATGTATGGGGGGCTTCCCTGGTGGCGCAGTGGTTGAGAGTCCGCCTGCCGATGCAGGGGACGCGGGTTCGTGCCTCAGTCCGGGAAGATCCCACATGCCGCGAAGCGGCTGGGCCCGTGAGCCATGGCCGCTGAGCCTGCGTGTCCGGAGCCTGTGCTCCGCAACGGGAGAGGCCACGACAGTGAGAGGCCCGCGTACCGCAAAAAAAAAAAAATGTATGGGAAGACTTATCACATGACCTTGGCAGGGGTGATGTTGGAGTGAAGCTCTGAGAAGCAGAAATAGTCTTAGTGATGTGTAAGCCTAAAAAAAGGGGAATTCTATGCTGTGGTCCATGAACAGATGAATAAACAAGTTGGGGTAGAGCCATGCAATGGAATATTACTCAGCCATAAAAAGAAATGAAGTGCCGATGTGCTACAACATGATGCTCAAAAACATGCTAAGTGAGAGAAGCCAGAAACACAAGGTCATGCATGTGAAAATATCCAGAATAAGTAAACCCACAGAGGCAGAAAGTAGATTGGTGGTTGCTTAGTTCTGGGGAGCGAGAATGGTGGTGGCGGGGGAATGACTGCTAAAGGGTACGAGGTTTCCTTTTGGAGTGCTGAAAATGTTTTGGAGCTTGATAGCGGTGGTGGTTGCACAGTGCTGTGGGTGTACTAAATGTCACTGAATTGTACACTTTAAAATGGCTAATTTTATGCATGTGAATTTCACCTCAGTCAGAAAAATTCTATGCTGTATCTGGTATTTGATCTAGTTCTTTCTTTTTCTATAATTGTAACAGCAATCTATTTGGGGATGTGAAGTCTTCGCAACTTCACCATGCTTCCAATGCAGGTCGCCGCTCTTTTTCGACTTTGAAGTCACATTGAAGATGTCAGATCAGCTGATTCCCTCACTCCTGTTGCATGATTTTCTGGCCAAGGTGAACTGGGTCTTTGTCTTCCCTCGGTAAGGAAGCAAAGGCTAGTCCAGAGGCAGCCAGGGGACCACGGTGGGCCTGATAAAGATCTTCAGTCGTCCTTCCCATCCCAAAGTTTTCTCCTGGTTACCTGCTTCTCTCCTTTGTGCTAAGGGTGTTGGTTGGGAAAGTGGATACAGTACAGTGCCTAAAGGGAAAGGGGTTATTTTTAATAAAATTACGACCTAGGTAATCATGATTAGAATTTGCCTTGGACAAAACTGTAGGTTCAGATCACAGATCAGTGGTCGCCAAAGGTTCAGTTGGTGGAGGGGAGGCTGTGACTACAAAGACGAGCACGGGAGTTTTGGGGGGCAATGGGGGAGCGATGGAATTGCTCAGTGTCCTGACTGTGGTAATGGTTACACACATCTACACTGGTGTTAAAACTCAGAACTGTACACCCAAACAACAAAACAAACTGTAAACACACACACCATATATTAACTATGGTGGCAGATGCATGGGTGTATATATTTGTCAAAACTCAATGGACCCTTCGGACTTCCTTGGTGGTCCAGTGGTAAAGAATCTGTCTTGCAATGCAGGGGACGCGGGTTTGATCCCTGGTCAGGGAACTAAGATCCCACATGCCGTGGGGCAACTAAGCCTGCGCGCCACAACTACTGAGTCCGCGCACCTCAACTAGAGAGCCCACATGCCGCAAACTACAGAGCCCACGTGCCCTGGAGCCCTCGTGCCGCAACTAGAGAGAAGCCTGCGCCACGATGAAATATCCCACATGCCGCAACTAAGACCCGACGCAGCCAAAAAAATAAATTAAATAAATAAATGTTTTAAAAAACCTTAAAAAAACCTCAATGGAGGGGATTCCCTGGTGGCGCAGTGGTTGGGAGTCCGCTTGCCGATGCAGGGGACACGGGTTTGTGCCCCAGTCCGGGAAGATCCCACATGCCGCGGAGCGGCTGGGCCCGTGAGCCATGGACGCTGAGCCTGTGCGTCCGGAGCCTGTGCTCCGCAATGGGAGAGGCCACGACAGTGAGAGGCCCACGTACTGGAAAAAAAAAAAAAAAAAGAAAAAACCTCAATGGACACTTAAAATGGGTAAATTAATTATATGTGAAATATAACCGCAATAAAGTTGATTATCAAAAATTTGCCTTCTGGGCGACTTCCCTGGTGGCGCAGTGGTTAGGAATCCGCCTGCCAATTCAGGGGACATGGGTTTGATCCCTGGTCTGGGAAGATCCCACATGTCGCAGAGTAACTAAGCCCATGGGCCACAAGTGCTGACCCCACGTGCGACAACTACTGAAGCCCGCGCGCCTAGAGCCCGTGCTCCGCAACAAGAGAAGCCCGTGCACCACAACGAAGAGTAGCCCCCGCTCACCGCAACTAGAGAAAACGCATGCACAGCAATGAAGACCCAACACAGCCAAAAATAAATAAATAAATAAATATTTTAAAAATTGCCTTGGAACATGAAAGACATATGCTCTATAAGTTCTCTATAAGTCACATCATATGGGAAAGTAGGAAAGATGACAAATGGGCTGCTGGTTGTGTGACAGACCAGGCCTCATAGGGTGTGGGAAGTCCTGGCAGGGTCACCACAGCCTGGAGCTCAGCTTGGGAGGCTGTAACCTCCCCCCATTCGCTTCAAGTAGGCCATTCTGGATTTTCCTCCAGAAACCAGAAACTTTGCTTCTGGTTTCTTGGGGGAGGGAAGGCACAGGTGAGTCCAGCATCTGCAGACCCTGACACACAAGTGCACTGAGGCCTTCTCTTTCCTGCTTCAGACTCGTGCAGGAAAACACCAGACCTCCTTGGAGACAGTGCTGGTCTCCTCCTCAGAAAAAGCACATGACTTCATTTGGGAAAACATAAGCCCATTTGGAAATACAGACTTGAGAACATTGTCTAAATTTATTCTTACCCGTCACAGGCCTGTGCCCCTATGTCTAGTGAGCTGTCCAGGGCCCACAGCCTTCTGGTCCTGACCAACTTTAGAGGGGGCACCACGTTGGGAGTTGGGTGACTTGGGTAGTAGTCTTGGTTCCTCCAGTACCTGGATGCTGGGGACAGCAGTCCCAGCTCTGGGCCTCATGGTCCCATTTGCAAAGCAAGCAGTTTGGACGCAACTCCTGAAGGCTGCCCTGGCTCTAGGATGCTGCGTGAGCAACTCAGCTATGATATCCAGGCCCATAATCTCTAACCCTTCATCGTACTACTCCTGCAAAATTAGGATGGCCAGCAGCTAGTGCTGAAAAAACTGACAAGGGCATTGGGAGACTTCGTGCTTTTTACTCTGTTTCCAATTCTGTAAAATGGACATAATAAAACCATCTAATTTAGGAGCTGTTCTAAGCAGAGAAGGAGGAGCCAGCTGCACCTGGTGCTCAGCTTGACAGCCCCAAGTAAACCACGGCCCCTCCCTCTTAATCCAGGCCCTGTGAATGCACACTTTTAGAAACCTGTTAGCCTTGATTTGGGGTTCATTCTTTTCTCTCTACTACTATATGGTTTTAATATTTTCTTTTCTAGCAGTCTTGCCATATATTTGGCTTTTATTATATAACTCTGTGGATACAGACAGACTATACATTTAAGTAAAATAAAATTGCTGTCTCCCCCAAAGAACAAACAAACCTTCAAGGTTAAATTAGATAAGAATTTAGGTAATAATTCCTAGCATTTATCTGTAGTTATTATCGTGCCATGTACTGAGCTTAATGCCTTACACATACATTTTATCTTATCCTCAAAACAAATGTGTGAGTTAGATATGATCACCTCTATAGTATAATATAGAGATCTATAATATAGAGAGGATATTCTCTCTAGGGAAACTGAGGCACAGAGAAGTAAAGTAACCAGCCCAAGGTTACACAGCTAGCAAGTGGGGGACTGGCCTTTGGGTGACCCACCATCCCAATTTGCCTGGGACCCTCCTGGTTTTAGCCCTGAAAGTCTGCTGTCCTGGGAAATTGCCCTAATCTCAGGCCAACCAGGATAGCTGGTCGCCGTAACTCAGTGGTCCTCAACACTGAGGGCAACGAGGCTCCTCAAGGGACGTTCTGCAATGGTAGTTGTTATAGTAATGGTAGTTATTACTATTTGTATTACTATTACTATCACATATAATTTTTTAATTTCTCATCCTCCCTCTTCTTACCACTATGATATCCCTACAAAAGTATTATCAGCTCTACCAAACCACTTCCCATGCTTGGAGGAGGAGGAAGGGTGTTGATTGGGAGTACCCAAAGTGAAAGGCACCTACTTTTACTTTTTTAAAACTCTTTTTTCCCTTGCTTTTGGAGCA